GACACCCTGTATAAGAATGAAAATTCCATTTTCCGTATAATATTGATTTCACTAAACTCGGAATAGACAACCGTCTGTTCACACTAGAGCTTTCGATTGGATACGTGTTTTAAGATTTACGTGTACACGTAATCCGTGTACATGGATTTAAGGTACCTTCATTCACGTGTACCTGTGTATGTGGCACGTGTACACGTATAGTCGTGTATGTGACACGTGTATGCGAATATTCGTGTATGTGACACGTGTACTCAAATGTCCGTATATGTGTGATACGTGTAAACGTGTGCAAATATTTATCAAAATTTGATGAAAGATCTCTATTTCTGCATATGTTGTTCGACATATTTATACGCATAATTCTAACATTCCAAGTCTTATGCTGATTTTGTCACATAATTCTCTAAACATTTCCCTATTGAGGTATACACGGCTACACGTTTACATATGTCACATACACGGATATTCGTATACACGTGTCACGTTCACAGATATTCGTAAGCACTGTTACATTCATGTGTTCACTGATTCACATATATGAAGATTCTTTAAATCGTGTTGTCCTCTTTATTTGTCCAATGTAGCAGGTGTCACACCCAACGCAATTGATCTTGTAAATTACACCTGTACGTCTTAGCTTACTCAGTTTATCCTTACCCACATAGCACAAATGATTGTTTGCCGGCTGACAGTCGATATTTTTAATCACTTTGAAATCAACTTTTTAAGTCGACATTTAGTCAACTATTTATAGGATGGTTTATTATTGACTTTAACTACAGACTAAAAGTCGACCTAAAGTCGACGCTTTCAGGAAGTTGAAAGTCACCTTTTGGTAAAGCGAAAAATCGACTAAAAAATATTTTTCGTCTTACTGAAAGACATAAAGATCTTTTCGTCATTTTCTTTCTTATTTTTTCGGCAAAGCTGTTCGTGAATTATCAGTGTCTTCCTGATAGACGACAATCGTATCTGGACATGAGACAAGTTATATTTTTTGCGCGGCTACCGAATTAATACGATTTAATCTGTCGATTAATACAAGTTAATCAAGGAGACCTGTCAAATTTGTCAAAAATATAAAAGTATAATTAAAAAATGTAATATATACTCTGGTTTAATGTCCGTTTTTATTAAGACATATGCTCATTATAATTATTATTTAAGTTTAATTGGAGCATTTTCAATAATATATTGTAAATATTATACAATTAAAATATAAAAAATTTAATCAATCATGTTTTCAAGATGTCACTATTAAACATTTAGCAGTTAATATAAATAACGTAAAATGGACTGAAAGTTGACTTATAATTGCCATAACCCAGACAGCACACCATGTCTAAAAGACAGCTCTAAGACGTCTTTAAGTCTAAAAGACGTCTTAAAGACGTCTTTATGATGTCTTTTAGATATGTGTGCTGTCTGGGAAGGTCGACTTCTGATCGCCATAAAGCAGACTTCTAATCATTATAAAATCGACTTTTGGCTGACTGACAGCCGACTATAGTCGAGTCATTTGTCGACTATTAGTTGACTATAAGTTGACATTCAGCTTGACTTTGAAGTCGACTTTAGACTTCTGCTGCCGACTGACAGTCAACTAATAGTCGACTTGGTGCTGTTTGGATACCCTTCTTTATGACACAGTTTAGTCTTTTAGAAATAGTATGAAAAACATCAAAGCCACGTCCCCTCAAATAATCGAAAATATACTTGTTATGATCTTTTAAGTACAGAATGATTATAGGATTTCTAGTTATAGAATTTTTAATATTCGATTTGAGTATATGGAACGGCCTGCAATGTCCCTCAAACTCTTCCTAGTCACATTATTTACAATGTTAATTGGGCAACAGTTATTTTTCAAAATCTCTCTAACAATATCAATGTTTTCAGGATAAAACCTTTCATCAGACAACTATATCGCTCTATCGACTAAATTTCTTATAATGTTAGTCTTATATTTAAATGGATATATTGGCTCGAGAAAGTTGGCTTACGAAACCAATTATTTAATAAAGAATCTCCGTCTTTGCTAACTGTCACGTCCAAGAAATTAATTTTATTATTTTCTTCAAGTTCACACGTGAATTTTAATTTCGAATAGTAACTTAAAAGTGAGTTGAGTATATGATTAATACTGTTCTTATGGACAATAGCGAAAATATCATCTACATATCTATAAAATGTTGAAATACCGTGTAATAATGGTAAGCAATAGGATTCAAAGTCATCAAACACTAAGTCAGCCAATATAGGAGAGAGAGGGGAACCCATTTGGAACAACCAAAACTTTGTTCATAGAATCTGGAGTTAAAACAAAAACTAGTCGCATTAAGGATCATGTCGATAGCAACTAGCAATTGTTGTAAATAAAAATTGAATTTTATCTTGGTGAAAATATCATCCCATCTCTTTTCTATAACCGTAAAAACTAAATCTTTCGGAAAGTTGGAGAACATGGAAGTTGCATCTAAGGAAATTAATAATTCATTGGAATTGATCTTGGTATTCTTGATCAATCTAACGAAATTCCAGCTAGCTTTTATGATTTAGGATGTTTGACCAATTCGTGTAAGATATCTTTAAGGAGCGTAGTTATTTTGTAAGGAGCACTACGAATGGCTGAAACTATGATGCGCAAAGGAAAACCAGTCTTCTGAATTTTTGATAATCCATAACAACGAGGAAGGTTGCTACTGGCACAGCGTAATTGTCTGTATGTGGATTCGTCAATGAGTTAGCTTTTAAACTAAGATTTTATCAAAGTAAAAGTAGTCGTTATGCGATTGTTGGGGTCATGATTTAAAATTCTGTAAGTGCTATCGTTATTTAGCAGTTTAGTTATTTGGTCCATATAAGTCTACTTGTCTATAACAACAGTAACCTGACCTTTATCAGCTTTTGTCACTAATAAGTCATCGTTTCGTCTTAAAAATTCTTTGCATTTGTTAAAAAAGTCTAAAATGTATCTCTCAATGTAACTGGTGTGTGTCTGTTTCGTCAAAAAGTTAAGCAAAGAATTGACGAGACAACCACCGAGTCTCATTAGTAGACTAATTTAATTGTGGCTATTTAACTCAAAGTTTTTTATTACACCCAAGACAGACACTAATTGTTCATCTTTAGTTCTAGAATCAATCAGGAGGCCAAAACGGTTACCTAAACTTAATATGTGTTGTATGGTTCTGAAATAGATTTATTCTTACTAATATTAACCATCTGATATTAATCCATTTAGTTCTACCGTTATTGATAAATTGGATATTTTACGTACAATATTTGAAAATTAGTTTTAATCTTACCATCCGGTTATTTTTAATTTTGTCTCTATTAAAGTTATAAAAGTCAGAAACTAATGGTTCAGATAACGAGGCTGAGATAGGTTTTTACTTACACAATTTTCAGTTTGTGTAAGTAAAAAATAATCGCATAATGTGTGTAAATTTTTATTTTTTTCAATTTTCTAAAAAAAAATTTTTTCACGTCAGAGAAAAAAACACGCGCAGAAAAATTCCTTTAATTTTATTTGCATTGTTTGCCAAGAAATTAAAGACACTTATTTCAAGCGAAATTAGCGGATGAATTATATATGACACCAGACTCGCGTTGGTTATCAAAATAGTAATTTTCTAGCAGAAATTTTCTAACGATTTGTGTAAAAGGAAAAGTGAAAGTACGTTATCTAAATACGCGCGGTGGTTTCTCTTAAGCACGACGAAATTTCACACCTTGTGCATCAGGATAATGAAGATCGACCGTCCTGATGTAACTTGCTCGTTACACTGCGAATGGTTTTAAAATTGAACGTGAGACAGATTCGCCGGATTAGAGAGTGTTCTGCAAAATTTTCGCAGAGTCGTTCGTAACGCGCCGTTCGCTTTAGTAACAAAAAGATGTCCTATTGTAAGATACGCAAATGTCGCCCATTTTGCCTCTTTACAATTTACAATTGCGGAACGTCGAACGTCGCGACATCAAATTACACCGAATTGCGCCATCATACTTTTAAGGATTTTCGGCGTCATAAAGCACTCCTTATAGACGTGACCACAATCGCGATGTCCTTCTCGACCCACCTTAATAGCTTCCTGAAGGACTGTGCCATTCGTGAATTCCTTAAACCACTTGTGACTGTTCAAAACATTTAAGACAAATTCATGTGATTAGAATTTAATTTCTCGTATAATTAATTCAGATACCTTTGCATACATTTACATTAAAATTTATATTTAATTTATCATAATTTAATTAAATAAACTTCACACATTTAGTTTTTTTAATTAAACAGTTAAGCTTTTGTCATTTTTAATGTCGCAGTTGTGATATACGAGTATCGTTCTCGGTAATCTTTCAGAAAAAAAAATCTTTACTCCTGAATCATTATTTAATTATTATTTTATCGTCCGATATTAATTCTCTTAATCATATTTGTATTTTCACATATTCTCTACTTCTCCCAATTCTCTGTAATATATTTTCTTTCAAATATCATGAAAGTTACTACATGTAACTTGATTAAATTATTAATGTTGTTAACACTCATTAAATAAGCAAATAATATTTCATCTAAAATAGCAAATAATATTCATCTAAAATAGCATAATTATTTAATTTTGAATTAATGGCTAAAGATCCCGAAAATAATATTCTGCAAATTAATAGTTGTTAATTACTTACTATTGTTAAATACAATGTTAAAAAGCAGTCGTACCTTGACAAACCATCGATAATCTTATTGGTACTCGTAGGGTTGTCGGAATGACTCGCTTCGGAAACGACAGCGCAAACAATACGTTGAACGCAGGGTGTAATGTACCGATTGCGAAACACAATCTCGTTTATCGTGTCTCCCATCTGCGACCATTGCGAATCGAGGCCTAAAAATAATAAAGGCATTCGCATGAATTTCAGACAATTGAAATGTATTTCTAACAAATTTGCCATTTTAATGCGAGCAGAAACAAAACTCGTACTCCGATATTGCGTTCCCTGCGGGCCTGGCTTTGACATGAGAGGCACCGCCAAAGTGACAATAGCCGTTAACACGCCGGCGATGGACAATCCTCTCGTGTTAACATTAAGCAGTGGCAACACTTCGCCAGTCTCGCTCACGTGGTTGAGCGGTATTGAGAAGAAGGGCACCGACACTTCCCAATTGATCTGGAAAGTTTAATTGGAAGAACGATTGAAACGTATTTCTAACAAATGTATCATCGTAACGCGAGCAGAAGTAAAACTCGTACTCCGATATTGCATTCCCTGCGGACCCGGCTTCGACATAAGAGGCACCGCCAAAGTGACAATGATTCCCAATGAGAAATGATTCGTCGACATCGTTTCGACATCGATCGACAAGTCATTTCTCGTTGGGTTTCATCTAAATAAAACTGTGTTGTGTCCGAAAAGAAACCGGCGCGCAGGACAATGTAGAAAACGGTATATGAATTCACATATTAGATTACAATTATTAGGCTACCAACATCTTGCTCGGACCTAAGGGCGCTCCCCAGTGAGAAATGATTCGTCGATCGACGTCGAAACGACGTCGAATCGACATCGACACCGTCAAATTGACGTCGATTCGACATCATTTCGACGTCGATCGACGAATCATTTCTCACTGGGTCTCACCTGATTTAATCGGAAGGGTCTCTGTCAAGAGAAACGATTCCAAGTCAAATCGAGAAGGACTCGAGATCGTGGAGGACCCGCTCGACTGACAAGATTAATTAATAACCCTTGTTGGGGACTTACACACGCGTTCCAAGAATTTCCACGCAATCAATTCCGTTAATGTACTCACGTCGACGTTTCCGCCCTTCGTATCAAACGAGATGAACTGCGACTTCTGGCCGTTAAGCTTCGTGAACGTGCGCGCATTGCTGTCGCCGATAACTCGTACGAAGAATAACGCGAAGGGTAGAAGGATGAGAAGAATCGAATCCGTCGGTGTGGCCCGCATGTTCAAAATCCTTTTTGACGGATGAAGTTGACGTTGGATGAAGTGTTAACACTTTACTTTACGGATTGCCGATACCCGCGACTTTCTGCCGTCCGCGAAGTAATGAGATGCATTTGTGCGCTCCCGAGTGCTTTTCAACGAGTGCAGCAGACCCCCACTAATTTGCCCCGTTCGTAACAGGTTCGCCTGCCCCTATCGAAGCAGGAAATGCCGATTTCTCGCGACAAAATTAACGAACCCAAGCGGCGAAATCCGCGGGATGATGTGTAATTAATTGCTTCTACATTCCGTCATGCGCGGGCCCCGTCTTCATCGGCGGAGAAGTCAGTAATTACTGAGCGACCGTTTCTCGCGAATTATTTTCAACCGCAAATTTTCACCGGCGCGAGAAGACGAGCGCACGCGACAACGAAAAATTACAATTATAGACCCGGCCGGCCGTGGCTTTCGGCGAATTTCCCGAGGCATCGTCCAGAACGGACTTCTCCGTCGAGCTCGGGTCGGGGGAGAGCGCGACACGCGAGCCTCGCGAAAGAGAGCTTCGATTCGCGCTCCATAACTTCCCCTGTGCGATGTTTGGCGAACGCGCGGATAGAATTTCTTTTCCTCGGAAATTTCACCGGAAGAACTTCGACGTGTATCTCGTAGCTCAAAGTACCTATCATGAAAATGTTTAGAACAGATTCCGATTGGAATTATTCCGTTTCCCCTCTGAGTGAGAAATATTTTGTCGAAACGATGTCGAATCAACATCGACATTGTCAAATTCGATGCGATTCTACATTAATTTGACGGTGTCAATATCGTTTCGACATCAATTGACGAGTAATTTCTAGCTTGGCCTAGAAAACACAACAGAAATCTAGGAAATAATTGAACAATTCCGAGCATTTTCATGATAGGTATCCTGATCACATCCGCTTTCGCGACTTCTCGCGTTTACAGATCCTTCTCTCTAAAGTTTTTCGAGTAAAAATGCCATGGTGTGAAATACTCACCCTATTGGAGTGAATATTTCACTCCACGGTAGTATTTTCACTCAAAAAATTTTAGAGAGTTGATCCTTCGCCCGTGACTCTTTCGCCTAATCTATAATGTGCTCTTTGCGTCTGGAAACATTCTATTTTGTAGCCAACAGAACTTGGTATCTTTTTCCGGAAAAATAATTCAGTGCATTTTGTATCTACATCTAAATCGAAGGAATTCCAGAAATATAACTTGTATATATGTATCTCTTTACTGAATCCATTGAAAAGTCATCTTGTATCTGTACCTATGATGAAAAGAGTTAAAATACCAAGCTCTAGTAGCCAATAAATACGTTAAAAACATTTGTGCGCGCTGATAAATTCGACGGGTGCTATGAATAAACGTGTAACTCAGTGTTTCGCTCACAAATTATCGTAACTCCCCAGTCCATCAATAGAACAACGTAATTCTTTCCCGGTATTTTATAAAACGTTGTATCTCTCAGTTTCTCAGTAGGAACCACGTATCTCGCAAAGGCCTTCGTAAATCAACGTATCTCCTGTTTAACTAGATAAAACCACGTAACTCTATTTTTGGGTATTTTAAGATAATATTATATCTATGTTATGGAAAGTTATTTACTGTCGTAATATAAAAGGTTTTATAAAACAATACAATTTGTAACACATAAAAAAAATAATTTCCCATATCTTAAATTTGCCGTGTATTTTCGAGTAACAACATCGTATCTCATTTTGCGCACGCGTATGACCTAATCACAGTCTTTTTTTATTCAAATCTTTTTTTACTTTAATGCGTTAACCTACCCGTAGATGACAGACGTTAATTTTGCCGTTTTACATTTAGTTATTTTAAATCGTTACTATTGTTATTATTATAAATGTTTTAATTTATTACGTACAACAAGTTTACTATATTTTTTTATAAATACATAAGTATATATACATATATTTTTTTATCTTCAATTTATTTTTAGTTTCCACGGTAATTGGTATATTTTCATAAAATCAATATCGGTAATTGTGCATAAAAGCGACTTCCTCTCCGATTCGCTTGATTTTTAAATATGTTGTTGGG